CAGTGCCTCCGGGCCAATCCTTCACAACTTAATAATGCAAGCAAATATGGAAGCATTTCACATGATCTGTGAACAGAGATTGGGTCCCTATAAAAATGGGGAAGGCTCATGTTGCTCAAATTCATACAAGACCAGGGTTCACGACAGGACTCCCACATCTGACATCGCATGCTACATGTTCTGATCCACCAGTACCCGCCCCCCACCCCAACGGGCTCGTCCACTCCTTCCTGTGAACGTTCCCACTACAAAGTCGAGCCCACTCTGGAACTTTCCCTTCTTGATGCCCACAAAGCTTAATAGAGCAGAATGATCAGTTCATCGTCCTTGTTTATCTCTTGAGAAAGGAATTTACAGTTAAGATTCGAGGAGAGGGCCCTCATGTAGATGTTTCACTTTCTAGAAGCTGTTCATCTGAATTAGTGAAAAGTCGGACTTATAAATGAGTCCTACAGAGCAGTGGCTTTAATCCTGTAAAGTCCCCACAATAAGTGTGTGACTGATAAAGTTTTGCCAAGACCAAGTCACTTCAGACCTGCCCTAAAGAGCAGATTGGATTGTGAGGATGTCTCCGCACACGTTTTTTTAATAAGGTCGTAAACAGTCTCCCATCAAATTCCCCACACACTTCAGTTTCAGAAGGATTATAGTCTTCAAGTTGGAAGACACCCTAGAGTTCAGTCACCCTTATCTCAGACCTGCCTCCTTCTGTATGGCCGCCAGCTGGTCACCTGAGGGCACTGAGCTGCTTTCTGAGGGCAGCTGCAAATTTTGAAAGGTCTCTCCTGGCGTTGAGGAGAAACGTTCCTGAGCAGATCTCTGACTCAGAGATCCTACTTTTAGCTTGGAGGCCCTGCGAACAAGCCCACTCCCCTTCACGTGGGCTAGACCGCCATGTTTTCCGAAGACTCTCGTCACAGGAACCGCCTTCTTCCCTGCCCCTGTGTCTTCTCCAGGCAAAGTAGTTTCACTTCCTTTCTATAGCTTCCAGCCTCTTCATGTGATGCCATCCCAAACTGACCTCCTTGTTGCAGAGGAGGCCTGCAGAGCGGCTGTCCTGTCTGGGGGTGAAGGTGCCGTGGATACCATTTAAAACCCCTTTCCCCAAGGTACTCTCCAGCCTTTCACCTGCCCAGAACAGGCATCTCCAGTGCTTCCCCAGCTGCCCCCCCACTGGCCTACTCTTTGGCCCTCTCCGCTCAGCCTGAATTTCCCCGCGAGGGTCATGGACCTGCTAAATCAACTTCTTTGCTCTCAGACCTACCCATCGGGGTTGGGGTGAAAATGAGGCTTCGTTCCACTAAGTGCAGACGGCTCGCTCTGATGACTACAGTAGCAGAATCTGGTCTTTGAAAAGGTTGAGCAGTTGACTTTGAAGTTATTACAAACGTGGGTCCTTTCAGAAGTTTTATTGCATTAGGGATGAAGTTGTAGATTACACATTTAATATTTACTGACTATATTAAACATTAATGATTTTTAGTATCACACATTATCTTTGTTTTAACCACTAGCATTCTTTTTTAAAACAGTTTACTAAAGTATGAGAGTAAATGGTGCGTGGGAAATAATTCTAATCCAGTTCATTGAATGAAGAATGTGTAAATTGCACATTAGGCTTCCTCTCCTAGGCAGGGTCGAGGATTGCATGGGCTTGCTTTGCTCATAGCCACTTTAATGGACGTTTGGAAAACAAATTAGTGACTTAAGAAAATAAATGTAGCAGAAGTAGGGATTTAACTGCTGAACAGTTAAGGGATTTCAGTGAAGAACTGAAAGTGAAATATTGTGATTTGCCAACTTGATTCTGCAGATTCAACAGATTCTGCACCGAACGTGGCCAGGCCAATAATTCGGATGTGGCTGTTTGGCCTGCTTGTGGAGGCAATGCTGTAGCTTTGGGCCTTTTGCCCCCGGGAGTACCCCTGCCGAGTGCGCCGGCCCCCCGAGAAGAGTGCCTCCACTCAGCTGCGGAGCTGACATTCCTCCTCAGAAGGTGCTGGAGAGTGATCCTGCTTCGATTCTGAACTGTTATTCCCCCCACAAATGCCAGCTCGCCTTGCTTGCAGCCATGCAGCTGTCCAGAGAAAGCACTTCTTGCTCAGGAAGACAGTAGGGTCGTCCTTCACCCCCAGTTTAAGTTCTCATGGTGTGCTGTCGGAACTCAAGTCCACCTTCCCTTTCACCCCCAAGTCTCTGTGCCCATCAGGGTGGGTATGAAAACCTGATGTACCTCCGCTAGTACTTGCCCCTGAGTGGTCATTGTCAGCGTGAAGTGGCCACGGGGTCCTTCTGACCACACAGCACATAGCAGTAGACTCATGGGTAAGAAGTTGCAGGGAAAATAATTCCAGGTCTCCTTTCATTGGGTCTCAGTCAAGGTTACTCTTCCATAGGATCATCTTTATTGCACGTCTCTAGATATCTACATTCATACAACTATTTATAGTCCACTTGTGTGATATGGTTTCTCTCCATATCCCCAACCCCTTAGTAACAATTCTGAAATCCAGCAAGTTCTGAGAACTAATTTTGGTAACTTCAAAACAAACTCATTTGATGACAAAACCTAGATGAATGTGCACTATTTATTTAAAGTCATTTTTTTATTCCTCTTACTATGAACACGCTTCATGAAGGGGAACTTCTCCTGATCCCACTGGGGATGTTATTATATACATGGTAAATTCACCAATTACCTTTAAAAAAATTTTAAAATAGGATATGAAAAATCACCTGCCCTCCAAAGGGCTTTGGATGAGGAACACAGGTCTACAAACACACATTTCCTGCTAAGTTTGTGGAGGTTTTATTTTGATCTGGCAAAAGAATAAGGTGATTTGAGGAAATAAAACATATATCATTCCTGTGTCACCCCAGTACATTCAGTTTTGAGGAAAAACTCCCTGGGGTTGCTTGGTTTCTTACAGAAGTTGCTCAAAAATTACCCAGTAAATAGAAACTCCATCCAGAAATATTCCAAAGTAAATCTAGCTGCTATTTTAATTTGGTAACAATAGGATCAGTGTCTTATGAAAAGTCAGAAATTAATATGTATATGTGAAAGTAAAGCAGGAAGTGAGCTTTTCACTTGAAAATCATACATGTGAGTAGAAATTAGATACTCTCCATCCACCAGCAGGGAGTCTCGCGCTACAGATGCTCTGTGCTGGGGGCCGGAGGCCAGGTTAGCACAGTCTCTGGATTAGTCTCACTTAAATATATTCCCTTGAGCTTTACTTAGTAACCAAAGACAAAAGCAATTGATTAGATTTAGAGGGTACTTTACATAAATATGGAGTCATTACTGACATTAAGGCCAGATCTGCAAAGGCATTCAGACAGTCACACTCAGACATGTACAGACCACAGATACACACACACACACACACACACATTCACACGCACATTTTCCCAGGGGATATAGCTTCCTATTCCTTTTGCATCCCCTAATCTTTTGGTGTATTTGGACGAGGAATGTTCTGGTAGATAGCATTTACTTAGCAGCTAGCATTTGAAAATGAGCTTTTGCTGCATGAAAGAAAACACCTACCGAGGAGATGAAGGAGCAGTCTCCAGGGACACGAGAGAGCTGACAGAGAGGCGGTCTGCCTTGGATGGTGACTGATGAGGAGCCCGTGCCTGCTGGAAGGGATCCTGTCCTTCCAAAATTCTGGGGAGCAGGCTCCCGTGGGGCGTGGCATGCAGGCAGGCAAGGAAGAATGGTGTGTTTCCAGTCTTGGGCTCAGGGGTCCTTGGGATCCCTCTTTCTGATTGGAAGGTGGACCGCAGGACGCCCTACCCTGCAGGGCGAGGACTGAAGGGAAGAGCGAGTCATGGAGGGGGAGGGGCACCAAACGGGGGGTCAGGTGGCCAGATAGACAGAAGGGTGTGCCAGTCAGCACAGCGCTGACCCCCAGCCACCCCTCACTGTGATTCAACTTAGCTCCGAAGACTGGGTTGGGCTGGTGAGCTGAGGGGGAATGAGAGGTCGCCCCCGGGGTTAGAGCCCCATTTCCGAGCAAAACCAAGTCGAAGGAGACAATGAGCAAAAGGACAGTGAGGCCCCGACACACCCCAGCATGCCAAGAGGCAGCTCAGGCTGATTTGTTATGGGCACAGGGAGCAAACAATTAGTGAGGGAAATTATTGATGATCAATAAAAGCAGCGTAGCAAATGGTGTCCATTTTCAAATGCCTGGCTTGGTCAGCTTCACAAATTTAAAATCAATCATTTCAGACGGTGGGTCCTTTATGAACTTACCTCCTGGTAAGAGTTTGACAAAGAGTTTTGCAAACATTCTGGTGGAGGAGGCCAAGAACTCACCCTCTCCTGCCCTTACTCACACAACCCTTGCTGGTCCCCGGTGCGGTGCTGGGCCCTGGACCCTAAGTGAAACTCAGTGCTCCCCGCTCCTGCTGTTTGAGGAAGCTGGGGCCAGGCCTCTCATCTCAGTTCTCTAGCTAACTGAAAGGCAGAGGCAAGCCTCCCCCACCTCAAACCTCAGTTTCCCCAATTAAAATGAGGTTAAACTCACCCTTCTGGGTGAGAATCTTAGGTGGGTTAGAGCCAAGACCAGAGCCCCTTGACACATTGGAGGGTTTTTGACTAAGATGGTGACAGGAAATGAAACTCTCTTAACTGAAATAAAATAGGGGTGGGATGCATTGAGAATCTGAGGCTTTGTGTCTGCATTCAGAGCACATGAAAGTCAACTTAAAGTTTCCCTCAAAGAAAGGGAAGAAGGGCTTTCCTGGGTGGGGGCGGGAGAGGTCTTGGTTCCACACAGACCTCATTCTGTTCTAACCTTTGACCCCACACAGACCTCATTCTGTTCTAACCTTTGACCCCATGGGACATTCTCCCACCTCCCCTCTGTAAAGCGTGGTGAGTGCCCCATTCTGCCCGTCTCACAGATATAGGTGCTTCTGCTGAAATGGGCTTTTTCCAGCTGCTTTGAGACTGGAAGGGGCAATGAATGATGTGGTTTTTCTTTCAGCCCACTCCTGGCCACTGCTCCGCCCCCATCTGCAGTGCCAGCCAGCGGAGGGTCTGGCAGCTCCAGTGACTCAGAGAGCAGCTCTGAGTCCGACTCAGACACCGAAAGCAGCACCACCGACAGTGAAGCCAATGAGGCGCCTCGCGTGGCCACGCCAGAGGTAGGTAAAGTGGCCTGGGCCCCGGTCGCCATATTCAAGGCAGCTCGCCTCGCCGGCTCTCAGCACAATCACTTTACACTAGGAATACTTCAGGAAAGCATTTCAGTATTGATGGCATTTTCCCCCTCTGACACATATTCACAACGTCCCGACCAGACAGACGTTACTGCTGTGACTAGCTTGCTGTGAGACTCCCTTAGTTACTCTGAGCCACAAGCTTGCTCCTGTGGAGAGGGCAGTGGCGGTAACTGGGCTCACCTTCTCTGTCAAAGAAGCAGTGAAGCCAGTCAAGACCTGTTTCTGGCCCTGGGCCAGTCTAGGCCAAAGCCATCAATCGGAATTTGTCAAGTAAGCATGATGGTTGAAAGGCCTCAAGTTTTTCATTTCCATTTACACTTTAGGTGTGCATTTGATAATAATAACCCATGAAAACAGCAAACACAGTCCAAAATTAGAAATAAAGTCACGTGCCTTTTCTCTCCCTTCCACTTCATGTCCAAGGTGGCTGCTCAGGTCCTCTGAGCCCACACTTTGTCCAGCGGAAAGATCCTTTCATGGTTTTTTACACACTCGAGTTTCTTTATTTTATTGTATTCAAAATGAATTTATTTTGGGCCTCCCCTTCCCCTGGTGGTGCAGGCGGTTGAGCGCCACTCTGTGAAGCTGTCCACAGCCTCTGCAGGGCAGGTTCAATCCCAGCTGGCTGGCGAGGGTCCCATATGGTGCAGCAGACCTCTCCTGTCGCGCCCGCTGCTCCCCTCAGCAGTGTCTTTCATGAGTCTGCCTGTTCTGTTCCCAGCTCTGTCTCTGGTGAATCCTCTCACCCGCCCACGAATCTGGCCTATACCCCGGTTCTTGTATAAATAAATAAATCTTTAAAAAATTTTTTTAAAAATGAATTTATTTTGAATAAATTTATTCAAAATTTATATATTAAAGTGACATCACATTATGACTTCTCGAAGTTTCAGAGCTGCATCATTGAGAATCAACATGTGTCTATACTGCATTAAATTAATGTCACCGCAAACTTGTTTTCCATAATCAGAAAGAAATAATAGCAGGTGCTCCTACCAATGATGGCAAACACTTCTTGATGAGGGCTGTGTGCTGGCACTGGGGAAGCTCCTGACTTCCGTTTTCTCATTTCAGCCTCATGACAACCCGTAGGTACTTGCTAATATTGTCCTCATTTCACAGATGAGAGAATAAGGTTCTTAGGGGTTAAGAAACTACCCGATATCTCCCAATTAGATAGTGCCAGAGCCAGAGCTGAACCCGGGATCTGTGCATTACCAGAGCTGCTGCCCTTCACCTGGGACCTCACTGCCAACAGGGGCAGCTCGTACCACCTCTCCACTGGCCTGCTGTTGCCCCATGCAGGTGGGACCCCAGCTGCTCCAGTGCTTTTAATTCTGTCACCCTCTGTCGGCTGCGGTCATAAGCCTCAGCTGATGGTTTTCAGAAGAAGAGGGCTTCTGAGAAATGCGATGGCTCTGCAGTGCAGCAGGCAGAATTCAGGGTGGGGAGCGAAGGCTCACAGGGCACATGTCGTCTCCATGGCTTAGCCGCCAACGTGTGCGTGCACGTCCCCGAAGGTGGCTTGTTGCCCGCACACGCAGAGGGAGAAGTGTTTTGGAAATCAAATCTTTTCATCCTTCAGTAAAAGTCCACAAGGCGGGTTCTTCCGCCAGTGAATTACAGCGTCTCAGAGGCAGCCCTGGCCCCTTGGCAGCTAGAAGGACTCCCCTTTGAGTCCCATGGGTGGGTGGGGGTCGACTGAAGCTCCTCTCAGGACTCTGCCTCCTGCTGGGACCCTGAGTGGGGAGAGGGAGGGGTCCCAGCATAGGATTTTAGGAACAGGTTTCTCCTCCCAGGCCAGAGTGTAGAATATTTCCAGAAGTGGAGTGTAAATAAATGTACTGGGGCTGCCGGTGCTGATTTCACCTATCTAGATCATTCGGTCGATGTGGACTCTGTGTTTGTCCTGTGTGAATGGTCACCTAACATTCCAAGCTTTTCTCAGCAAGCAGCCAGCGCCCTGAGCATCCTCCGGAATGCTGACTAAATGTGAAATTCACTCTTGCTGCTGTTTCTCAATCTGCAGCCCGAGCCTCCCTCAACCAACAAGTGGCAGTTAGACAAATGGCTTAACAAGGTCACATCCCAGAACAAGTCGTTTATTTGTGGCCAAAATGAAACACCCATAGAGACCGTTTCTGTGCCTCCTCCCATCATCCAGCCGATGGAAGTCCAGATCAAAGTGAAGACAAACCCCAGCCAGGTCCTGGCTGAACCCAAAGAAAGGCCTCTCCTCGGTCTCATTAGGGAGAAAGCGCGTCCTCGGCCCACCCAGAAAACTCCAGAAACAAAGGCGTTGAAGCATAAGTTGTCAACATCTGTTGACACAGCTTCTCAGAGGACAATTGGGAAAAAACAGCCCAAAAAGGTTGAGAAGAACGCCAACACCGACGAGTTTACCTGGCCCAAACCAAATATCACCAGCAGCACTCCCAAAGAAAAGGAAGGTGTGGAGCTTCCTGAGCCGCCGAGAAGCCGCAGCAAAGCCACAGCCCACAAGCCAGTCCCTAGGAAAGAGCCCAGGCCTAACATCCCCTTGGCTGCTGAGAAGAAGAAATACAGAGGCCCTGGCAAGACCGTACCCAAGTCCCGGGAATTCATTGAAACGGATTCATCGACGTCCGATTCCAACACGGATCAGGAAGAGACCCTACAGATCAAAGTCCTGCCTCCTTGCATTGCTCCTGGGGGTAACACGGTCAAGTCCAAGGAGACCTGTGGTGCCAGCCTGACCCTCAGCACCCTAATCAGCAACAGCAGCAGCAACTTACCCGCCAGCAATGAGGAGCCCACGTTTTCACCCATCCCTGTCATGCAAACTGACCTCCTGTCCCCTCTACGAGATCATGAGAATCTGAAAAATCTCTGGGTGAAGATTGACCTTGACTTACTATCTAGAGTACCTGGCCACAACTCACTGCAAGCAGCTGCAGCCAAGCCAGACCACAAGGACAAGGAGACTGCCTCAAAACCCAAGCGCCAGACTGCGGCCACAGCTGCGGAGAAGCCCACCCCCAAGGGCAAGCGTAAGCACAAGGTAATCTCTCCCAAGGGTCTGCCCAGCAATCCCTACCAGGGCAGTCTGTGGGCTGCCTTGATCTTCAGTCTCATTTCCCAGGAGGCTGATGGCAATGGGTTGCAGTCTTTGGTGAAGGCCATGGTTACTTCCTGTGGGAAATGCAGGGTCTGACCTGACCAGGGGGGAAGTGTTAGGCAGGATCAGAGTTTGGAGGCCAATGTCAAGAGCATCCGATATGGCACATGGGGGATGAGGATGTGTGGGAAAGAAAATATGAAGAGTTCCCTTTCCCAGACAGCCCGTCCCCAGGTTGACGCCTTAAGGCACTCCTGCGGCAGGCACCTGCTCCAGCTCCAGCACCCAGAGCGCCAGAGGCAAAGCGCTTCATCTGGGCCTTGTTAACTTCCTGCCACACCAGCACCCCCACCACCCAACTCTCCTTTGATTACCTGACTCCTGCTGGGCACAGGCTCTGTCCAGCCCATTGGGCCCGATGTGTGGCTTGGCTTGACTTGTGAAAATCTCATCTGCAAGAGGTCAGGGCTGAATTGCAGGGCTGCAAACTCTAATCAGAAGGGGACACCCAGAATGACCTCTAATGTTTCAAATACATCAAGGGAGACGAGCTTATGTCAAATCGGCTCCTCCACGTGGTGACGAGCTTATGTCAAATCGGCGTACCTCCACATGGCGGTTTTTGAAAGTCATATCACCTCCTGGTGATATCTGGGTAATGTATGTTTAACGCTGCCATAGTGACTAGAGAGAGGGTCTCGAACCCTTTCCCCATCTTGTCTGTCTTTTTTGGTCAGAAATGGCTCAGAGTTTTGGTGGGAAACCTTCCCCGGCAGGCCGTCCTGCTGGTTGGGATAGAACCAGGATGAGTTAAATCTTCCTTCAACATCAGGGATTAAAGGGCGGAGGGTGCTACCTCCAAGCAGTGTACCACCTTGTCCAATGAGAATGTTCCAAAATATACACCAGGGTCGCCCAGTCCTGGCACTGTCCCTGCTCTCAGTACCAATGGCACAAGCAGGCAAAGACCTGCAGGCGTCCCCTCACCTGTGAGCGTCCACGCGTGTTGTTGCTGGTACACGTGACCATTCTATGTCACCCACCATCCTTGTGCCATTTGCAGAGGATTTATGCCATGGTAGCTTGCAGTGGTAGTTTCTAGACTCGTCATTCAGTGGAGACATTTTTGATGGGAGAAGTGTCTGAAGCTTGTCGATTCTCCTTCGCTCTGGATTCTCCTTCGCCCCAACCAGTCTTTAATCAGAGGTTCCCATCACAGCTCAGCTCTCCCAATCACCAGCTTCTCGGTAGTTGTGGACCAGGCCAGGCTGAGGGCCCTCCTCTCTGCCCAGGGATGCGCGTGGAACTCCCTCCCTAGTCCAGGGGTTAAGATAGAAGCCCACTGTCTACCTGACTCATCGTTTTTACAAGTCTGCACGCACCTTGTGTCTGAAACTCAGCATCTTTTTCCTGTTAAAGCCCACAGACGTGGCAGAGAAAATCCCGGAGAAGAAGCAGCGCCTAGAGGAGGCCTCAGCTGTCTGCCTGCTCCCCCCTTGCATCTCCCCAGCCCCACCTCAGAAGCCTCCCAGCACTAAAGAGTGAGTTTGCCCTGTCTCTCTGTGGTGCTTCCGTTTTTTAGACCCTGAAGCCATTCCCGTGAAGCCTTTGGGGGTCAGATAAAAAGTAGGAGTCTCAGAGACCAGTCCTGAGGCTGTCCCTGGCTGCAGGTCTGACAGGGGCGGGGCACTAACTGGAATACAGGCTGCCAGGTCTGGGGTGCCTCCGTGAGCTACTTAGCAACATTTCTTCACCCCAACTCGATCGGTGACTGAAATGAGCCAAAGCGGAGATTTAGCGTTACGTGAGGGTTGCAGTGGGTGACCTACTTAAAAAGAGGCCGCCTCAAGGGACACTTGTCATTTTCTATTACTCAAAGGAGCCAAATGCCTACTCAGAATCTCCATGCGCAGGGGTGTCCAGTCCTGTCCACAACCCACGTGCTTTTCTCGGCGCGTCTCAAGTACACCCGGCAGGCTGACTTGAGCGGGCATTTCAAATGGGATGCTAAAAGAATTTTTAGATGTAAAAGAGAGAGGACCCCGTCAGTTGAACCAGGTCATCTGCTTCTAGGCAACTTCTGCTTCTGATGATGATGAAACGGTTTCCCTGGAAAAGCAAGCTCTTGTCCTTGAAGGATGGCCCAGCTGCCACTTCCTCTTTGGTGTCGTTACTGAACCTTGATACGTGGGGCTTGAGGACCAATTGCTACCTCCTGGGCTCCTCAGAGACCAGGGCAATGACATGCTTCGGGAGGCTGGAGATGAGCCTCTGGGGCTTGCCTTCCCCTTGGGGCAGTTCTGTGTTACGGAGAGCCATTCATGCCAACCAACTGCCTCCGCTTCTCCGTTCTCCCTCTTTGCAGAATGTGCCAGAATCACACAGGCGGTCTCCCTGTCCCCGCCTCACTGGAGAAGTCCTGTCCTCTGTTTCTATCAAGCATTGTGACCGAATTCTTCTATCTTATAAATATCACTTAACTAACAATCATGTCAGCTACTGGGACCATTCCGTCTGGATAATTATTGCCATAAATTCATTCAACATTAGACATTACTTCCTTCAAAGACCAGTTTTGGAGCCTATTAGCAGCCCAGAGCAGAGAGGCAATCTGGCTAACTGCTGCTGACAATTGATTTCCCAGATTCCTGTTTAACATCAGTGATATGGCATCAATCTGCCCCCGATAAGATGTCGGAAATAAGTTATCAGCCACATTTGTTTGCATCCTTGTTTTGAGATGAAAAGTAGGAAAGACCAGTTACCGCTAGATCTGCTCAATAGAATCAAGAGATTCGGGCCCCTTCCCCAAGGATCAGAGCGTCTGTGATACGAGTTTGCTCTGAAGCATCCTGTCTCATCCTTGGGGTTTTGAGAACCAGAGGAGCAGGTTGACCCCCTTCACTCCAGGTGGAGCAGGAATATGGAGAAGCTTCCTCCCCAGTGGCCAAGCAGGGTCGCTGCAGGGTCTCCTTTCCAGGAGGGGGGACTGAAGTGGCAGCTTTGCGGTGGCAATGCCCAAGCCCAGATCCCAGGCGTTGACCGGTTCAGGCCATATCGGGGCAGAACAGAAAGGCAGGGGGCGTGGGGCATTGCCACTGCCTTCAGCCCCCACTCCTAGTCCCGTCTCCCTAGCAACCCAGTGACCTGTCACTCTTCCCACCTCACAGAAGAGAGATGACCAACTATTTAGTGAATGTCTTGTCATGTCAATTTATTGTCATAAAATAGTATCTGTAATCCATGGTCTTTATAGTAATTCTGTGTTTCTAGTGTTTACCCAGTGGCATTTATCGTCCAGGAAGGACCGTATGCTCACCCAACAAGTGCAAGTCTGGGGAAATCTCTGGAGTTGAGGGAGGATGAGTCAAGGACCGGCCTGTCAGAGGTCTTCATCTAGGAAGCCTCCCTTGAGGCTTTGCCTGCTCCTCTGCATCTAGCTGGCCCTTCAAGCCATGTCCTTGGGCACTTCCATGAGACCATATTCACTTTTCTAAATGAATTTCCTCAGCCTAGCAAAGAACGCCACACAGATTATGCACATGGAAGCCCACCCCATCATTCTGTGGGGGCATCCTGCTGGGCTCCTCCCCTCCAACCCTGGAATTTGAAGTATCCCTGAGTCCGCTGAGTCACTGTGTGGGGGTGGTGATGCTCTTCTCTTGCCCACATCCTCCTCTGGCCTACTGCAAGTGTGCCCGAGGTACCGACTGTTCTCGCAGTGGGCCGCCATAATGGTGACAGAGCAGTCCCTCGACAGCATTCCTTGGGCGTCTTTTGTCCAGGAATTCATTGAAAATGTCAGGTTTGAGGTCACTACCCAACCGATGGAAAGGGGGGCAGATGACGGTGTCACAGAAGCATGGACTTCTGCTAAGCACAGTGGCGGATGGGAAGGGCTGGCAGGTAGTAGCCAGTGCCTCTGGGAGACAGCTCTTCCCCCCACTCCCAGCCCCACCGCCTTCCCAGGCAGCCCCAGTGGTAGAGGGGAGGTCATAGCACACGGACCATCTCCGTCCTATGGAGTCCCAGCGACGCTTGACAACGCTTCATCCACCCCGAAGGTCTGACGTCTGCGTGACTAAGTGCGGGCCGGTGTTTGTGGCGCTTCCCATGGGCGTGAATCCTACCCACATGTTCATCATTTTAATCAGGCATCACAACTGTCTTCAAATGGTTCTACAGGTCAGGGTGTTTTTAAAAGCCCATTGGCAAATGTTTTTAAATTAATTTTAACCAATTAAGGTAATGGCAGAAGCAATGAAGTTGTTTCCTCTAATTTGGCTGTATGACAAAAATTGACATAGTGCCAAATTTATCAAACAAAAGATGGAAAGGACAAATATTATTATAATTGGCAATGGTGTGCAACACAGCAGGAGTGAAGCCAGGAGGCTGCATCGACTCCTCCCACTTCAGAAAATCAAACCACTTGAATGCTTGTTCATCTTTGATTTGTTGCTTGGAGATATTATAAATCTATTTTTCTAGATACTGACTGAAATGGACCAAGAGGAAAACATAAATTCTTGTTGGCTTAATTTGCTATTGAAAATTGTAGTCAATAATCATGAAAAGTAAATGGCTGCACAGTGCAATATTAGTTGTCTAAGAAAAGATTAAAATTCAAGTAATCTTCATTGATTAGTCTAAGACAGTAACTAAAATGAAAATCCATGACCCAATTACCATGTTAAGCAGCTAGCAGAAGGTTTTAGTTGTTCTGTTTTATTTGAAGTCTCAGACTGTTTGATGGTGCCCATTTAATGGGCAGATAAATCAGTCTGAAAGCACAGGAGTCCTTTAAGCGCTGCAGATGTCTTAGGGCGCTATGACGAAAGAATATTTTTCAAATGGAGTTTTGTAAAGCGGAGAACATCGCTATGTCAGTGTGACACCTACAGCCAGCAGGTCATTGTGCCTTGGTGTTGGGGTAGAACATCTTGAACGTACAATTTCCAGTGTGGCACAAAGTACTCAGGACTTTATCAAGTTCTAGGTAATGTTCAAATATCATATTTCTTAGGAAAATCTCTCTCCTTAATTGTTTATTATACCATTTAATCTGTGATTGTGCAGTGAAGTCACAGGGCAGAACTGTCCTAAAAATGATGGGATTAACACCTACATTGGATTTTCCATAAAAATCCAATGAACAGTCTTCTTGAAAGGTTGCAGATATCACATAACATATTCCATTAGATGCTTGATTTATCATAGAGTTCTGCTTCAGACACATGTGCTTGTTTCTAGATCCATGCTTGCCCTAGTCCATAGCTATGTTTATAGTGAGGGCTGCAACCCCCCTTGACAGCGGCATCTGGTGTGCAGTAGGCAACACACTATGAATGTGTCTATCTGCATCTTTATATATGACGGATCATCGACTAAAATACGTCTTTAGCTGAAAGTGCCAGTGTCACGGGGAAAATCAGAATCAAGACAGAACTTTGACATTCTCTGCTTTTTGTTTACACAGAAACAGTTCATCCAGGAGAGCAAACAGAAGAAAAGAGGAAAAACTGTTCCCTCCTCCACTTTCCCCACTGCCAGAGGACCCTCCACGCCGCAGAAATGTCAGTGGGAATAATGCCCCCTTCACTTCAGACAAGAACATCCCAATTATTGGACAGATCATCTCCACCAAACCTAAAAGGAGTGAAGGGAAATTCTGTGCTACTTTCAAAGGGATCTCCGTGAATGTAAGCCCTTTAGGAGAAATACCATAATTGTCATGTAGAAACACATTAACCCAACTTACCTAACTAGACTTGACCACATGGCACATGGGATGTTGCAGGGAATGGGAGTAAGAGACAGAGAAAGTGTGAGTGCATACACACACACGCGTGCACACACACACACACACACACACACCAACACACCAGCCCTCCATTATTTCTAGGCTTGATTTTTCCAACTCAGGATGGATTTTTCACCCCAGTGTTGCTTCCCCAAACAGATTAATATGCAGAAACCCAGGCCCTTGGACATCCTTTGGTTCAGCCCCTTCCTCTCTTGGGTTGGGGCAGACAGTTCCATAACACTCTTGACCACAGCATCTGGTGTACGGTAGGCAACCATTATTTAGCGAATGACAGAACACATGGATGGGATGGGAATGTCTCAGATCACTGAATCAGGGCTGGAAGTCTCAAGTTCCATCTCTCCACACCCAGCTTAGGAACTGTGAATTGTTTTGGAAAGACAGGAATTAAAAAGGATGAGTTTTTAAAGGTGAATCACACAGCTGGGGTTCCAAGTCCACCCAAAGGATTACCCAGTCCTTTGGAGCTTATTTTTTTTAATACATACTATTTATTTATTTATGCATACAAGAACTGGGGTGCAGAGCAAAGGTTCTGTGGTGGTGAGAGGATTCACCACAGACAGAGTGGGGAGCAGAACAGGCACATCGACTGAAATACACAGCTGAGGGGAGCAGCAGGTGAGATAGGAGAGGTCTGCACCATGTGTGTCAGCTCCCTGGTCAGGGATGGAACTCAGGCTGTAACGGCAATAGAGCTGGGACTGCACCCCAATACCACCAGGGAGGCCCCCTTTAGATTTTCTACACTGCTGTTGGATGGGCATAAATAATTGTAGATTTGTACCACTGTGCACACCATGTATGATGTCTTTTCAGCTGTCTCAGGTGGAGGTCCATACATTGTGGAAACCATGAGCAATGGTGTCACTAGTGAATATTAATGACAAATGAGCCCCTCTTTCCACATGTGCAGAGGTAGCATCCACAATCATCATGTCCTCCTTTAGTGTAATGTGAAAAGCAGATGAGTGAAAATAAGTTTTCAAATGTCTGGTATCAACCTGGTACGCCTAGAATTTCAGGTGTCCATTGACCACCCCAGAGCTTTATGGACCCCAATTTGTAGTCCTCAATCATGTGACATGACTGAGATGGCATATCTGGGTAAATGCCATCTCCGATAGAAAGGAATCGCTTGTTATAAAGTTGTCATTTTGCATCTGAAGGTCACGGATGTGACGGTGTGTGTACCCTAACAGTAGGCCTACAGTCCCATTGAAAGATGCTGACTGTGCTGTTGGGAACTAAACCATGTACTTTAGGCAGTAATTATACTATCAATCTCATTTTCATACCGAATATAATTAATATCATGAATTCCAACTGACGCTGTGTTCCATTGCAAGCTTTCGGAGGGCACACGCCATATCTAGGCAATTCTTCCTGTGAAGTGCCTGGAATATTGTCACAAATAATTAGATGCTTAACATGGATGTTATTACAGCAGCGATAATGATTATAAGAATCCGCAAAGTCATTTCCACAAGAGCTAAAAACTACTGGGGAAATTTGGTACCTGAGCTTCCATTTGCCCGGGACATGGCTCCTTCTTCTGGAGAAGTCTCTGGGGTCCCCCATGATAGGTTTTGTGTAGCCATCGCCTCTTCTTCGGCCATTCCTTCTTTCTTGTAATGGCTTGCAATCTGGGAAACTTTGCAAGATATTTTTGCCCTAAACTAGCGCTGCAGCAGATTTGCTCTGTGACCTCAGGCAAATCTGTGACCACAGGCAAATCAAATTTAGCAAATCGCCAAATTTCTATAAGCAAATCTGCAAGCCTGTAGAAGGCGTGCAGTTGGGCAGATGATCTGTTAAGGTGTTTTTCCTGTCCAAAAGTGTTTCAGGTTTAGTGCTCTCCACATCTTCCCCATGCTGGGTTTGTGTCATGTTCGGTTTGTTGACGCCCGGTAGGGAGGGGCAAGTGTGGACAGAGGACATGTTTATGGCATTTAAATGATCGTGGCTGAATGCAGAGCTTGCCAGTCAGCTGCGCAGGATCGACATCAGTCTGTGTGCGTGCGGGATGTGGCGGGGCAGGGTCCTTTCCACCTCTCTGGCCATGGAGAGGAGTGACATTGTGCTGCGCTCACGCCAGTGTTTGGCCCGGGCCATCTGTGTCTGGCAGCGGAGACATGGACCTGGCTGAGCAGTTTCAGAAGATTCTGGGTTTTCTGGGTTTGAGTTGAGTATAATCCGTGATGATCTTTAAAATAGTGTCTCCAAATCCATCATAACAAATTTTAAATTTGTAGCCTCCCAGCCCCTTTGTCTCAGTGAGGTCTTGGTGGCAAGAATTATTTCATAATCAGAAGGTTCAGGGTCAAGTGGAAAAGATCATCTTTCAGGGATCTTAGACACGTCCACATTGGCCTGGCGTCTTGAAAGTGCCCCCTTCTCACCCTGGCAGGCGGGCACGCGCAGATTCAGCAGACACAGGAGAGCCCACCAGGTAGTCTGTGGCACACTTGGTCGTATAATTGCAGTCTGACCACCTACCTTCTTCCTCTGCACCTCGTCTTTCTATGGCGATGACAGTTCAGAGAGAAACGCAGAAACCTAGCCATGTGATCCTTGACCTGGTCAAAGGGGGATTTTGTTGCCTGAGACGTCCCCAGGAGGAGGCGCTGGGGTGTTCCCAGAGCTGGAGGCCAGGCCGGTTCTGCTCGAGAGCAAAAGGGCGACCCCAGCCTCACCCTGGGTGACTGATGAGTGTGTGCGATGCTTTGCTGCTCTTCTGCTGCTGAGCAAGGACCCTCTCCTTACCCTGGTGACATGTTGCAGGCTGGTCCCTCCTTCCCTTGTCGAAATATACACATCAGGGCTCTCTCTCCCCTTCCTCCTCCCCCCTCCACCCCCCCCCCCACATCCCTCCTGGATTTAGACTTTTGCCAGGGACTCCAAGGCTGTCTCCGTGAGGCGGGCCGGTCACAGCACCCAATTACCTTGGAGCCGGGGCCATTTTATAGTTAAAGCAGGTGCTTCACGGGACTTGTGGATGGAGCAGGGTGGCCTCCTGGTCCTCCGGCCGTGTGCACCGTGTCCTGTCCTCGAGCCTGTGTCCTAGTGTTCTGGGATTCGAAGTATTTATGAAAAGATGTTGTAAAAAGCTGGACCTAATGGCAACCATCTGTCCTCCTTTTCCCCAGGAGGGTGACACTCCAAAAAAGGCGGCCTCTGCCACCATCACTGTCACCAGCACTGCTATTGCCACGGCCACTGTCACTGCTACTGCCATTGTCACTGCCACTGTCACCGCCACCGCCACCGCCACTGCCACCACCACAACCACCACCACTACCATTTCCACCATCACTTCCACCATCACTACCGGCCTCATGGATAGCAGTCACCTGGAGATGACGTCCTGGGCAGCCCTGCCCCTGCTGTCCAGCAGCACCGCCAATGTCCGAAGACCCAAGCTCACTTTTGACGATTCGTATGTTGTCCCCAGATTCTCATGGACCCAGTTGGGGAGTGTTGAATGGGGAGTGGGGCGGTGTGATCTAGCACCAAGCATGTATCACCCCAAATCGGACCTCCCGGCAACTCCAATTAACCTTAGAAGTACCTCGCTCCTCCCCCCACACCTCGAGTCCCAACTTGGCATGTCTTTGGCCCTTTCTAGTCACGGAGCGCTGTGATCGTTTCCCCAGGCAGGTGCTTCATGTAGCTTGCTCAGCCCTGCTGCTTATCTGAGTCCTCAGAACTGTGGGCCAACAAGATAGGGTGGCAACGACGTTCCTTTTGATCTGTTTGGACACTGTCATGCCTGCGGTTGGGAATGTAGTGGGTTTTTTTGTTAATGGGCCATTCATTATGAACTTCAGATTTCACTTCCAGGATTATCCATTTCAGAGTTAGTTCTTCTATGAATAATAGCATCATCTGCCTTTCCAGGGCATCATAACAGGATGAGATTCATAGCAATTTTTTTTTTGACTTCTCAGTCTTTTAGCAAAAAGATGTGTATTTCTGAAAGAGCTCGCTTTGTGTTTAGGGTTCACAATGCTGATTATTACATGCAAGAGGCTAAGAAGCTAAAGCACAAGGCTGATGCACTGGTAAGTGTCCTCCTTCTCATCGCTTCCCTCCTGCTGGGCTTTTATGCTTTAAGGAGCCAAACTTTGTCTTGGCTGCTCTGACATCAGGCTATTGGAGTGGCTGTCATCCCACACGGTGATTCAAATGGCTCAGCTGTTGTCTATGGGGCAAACTTCCCCAAGTGAAACAATGCTCCCCTGATCCCACAGATGAAAACGAGGGGCAGGCTGGATGTCGGCTCCACTCAAGGTGCCAGGAAGCTGTGCCTGAGACCTTCACTTGGGTGGCAAGAGATCAGAAAGGCTCTGGGTGGCAATGCCACTGGCTCCAAGACCAAAGGTTTTCTCTGAATGTGCCCAACTACCCTGTCAAAATCAGGGCCAGAAGTGCACAGCTGCTTCCCTCACCAGCTACTGACAGGGAGGCTGGCAGAGAAAAGTGCAGGAAGGTGCCTCGGGTGCTATTTTCACATATTTGTGGGTATCGCTACCTTTTTGGTAGACCAGCATCGCAACCCTTCCCTCGACTGGCTTCTTTCTAGTCCCTAAATCAACTAGACTGGTCACTGCAGAGGCCGAGCCAGAGCCAGCAAGGAAACTGCGTTTCCTAAGTCTGGGGGACCCCTGATACCCCCTAACACCTACAGCCTCCCAGAGCACCAAGACCCCAGTCCCAGACCAAGAGTAACAAATGGAGGCCATTGTCATGGAAAACGTGGACTGTAGCTTGACTGTGGACAATAATTGCTTCACTGTCATTGTCAAAGATGGCCTGAAACTGTGTCAAAAAGCCAGGAAATACAGCACTGCTAAATATTTTAGTTTAGTAAGATTTTATTGCAAAAGGTTTTAGCCTTGATAATGGACACGATTAAAGTGACTTAGACATACTGATTTCTTTTTTATGTGTAATGAATATTATATACGACACTTTTATAGGGAGCATTTTATAACGGTATTTAACATTTTCAATTTTTGATAGCTGGATGTTAGAATTCCACTAATATGGAATTTGAGGTAAAAGAATCAATATAATGCAGATTGAGCGATTTAAATTTTCTTGTAGACCTTTTTATCAAAATATTTTCTATGCAACCGTGAAGGTTTCAATTCTCAAAATGGCAGAGTAGCTGTCTCTAGCAAAGGATAAGTACAACTGTAAAGTGATGAGTTACAGGTCCTGCAGAATCTCTTGTTGTAAATGACTCTACAATAAATGTTCTTCAGTTTTTATGTACCGCAGAAATTCTGAGCTTCCCTTTCTGTAAGCTGTTGTGCAGAAACTTAACGGTTTCAACCCAATTCAAAGGGATTTTACGAGAGCCCGTCTGTCTCTCTACCCGATTTCCTTCTCTTCTTGCCAAACAAGATCATTTCCTTCCCTCACCTTGCTCTGACTGCCTCTCCCCAAAGGAGAAAGTAAAATCCAGAGAGAAAATGACACCATCAGTGTCAACTGATGCCCAGGCTGTCCCCCCTTCCGACGCCTCGGTTTCCCCGTCCATCAAATGAGGGACATGAACTTCCCGCTCTGGTGAGCCCTGCAAAGATGGCGTCCTCTGAATCCATGTTTCCCCACTGTTTTCTTTTATCCCCACCCCATGAGAGAGCTTCTTTAGATATGTGTTCACACATCCCCAAGGGGATCTTAATAACAGAATTGTACCAGATTAGCTCTTTATGTAATGTGCCCTAGGGACGGTCACACCCCGTAGAACATTCAGTCAGTGATGACGTTGACGATATGATCTCAAACAGGGCTCTCAGCTTTGGTACCCTTGACATCTTGAGCCTGTGTGTTGGGGGATGTGTGGTCGCGTCTCTGGCCTCCGCCATGCAGATGCCCCTGCCCTTGGTGGTGACAACCAGGAATGTCTGTGGCTCTTGCCACATGTCCCCGGGGAGGGCTACAAAGTGGCCCTGGCTGCTGAGCCTTTCCTCCGCGTGAAGGTCTGAGAAGAGAGGGAGTATCACGCTGACAAGTCCTCTTCCCGTTTGTTTCAGTTCGAGAAATTTGGCAAAGCTGTGAATTACGCCGACGCGGCCCTGTCCTTCACCGAATGCGGCAACGCGATGGAGCGGGACCCTCTGGAGGCCAAGTCCCCGTACACCATGTACTCTGAGACCGTGGAGCTGCTCAGGTTACTGGCCTTTCTGCAGCCATCTTCCTAAGCTCGTTTCAGCCCTGGCTCCTTCAAAGCTGCTATGTTTTTCAAAAATATCATTTCCACATAGTAATGATTTGTGCAGGGCATCTTCTTCTGAGAAATCATCATAATTAGTTCTTGCCATTTTATTAATGTCATGGAAAATTTATAACTGATGGGCACTGCTTTTATAAATGATCCCCTTCAGAGGTTATAATGTGAGTGTTCTAATTTGCAATATTCATAAAATTAAAATGAAAACGTAGTGGGTGGAAGGAAAGTATAAGAATTTCACCGTTTGGCATTGACACTCATCTTTTAAAAGTGCGGTTTTATAATTCAAAAAAAGTGGTGCCATTGGGATTTCTGTTTTCCAAGAAGTTCTGCCTCGGTTATTAAAAAGGGAGGAGGTGCTTTCTGTGCATCTGGAATTTAAGGGAAGCAGACAAGGTGGTAGCAAGGGGCGGGATAGCGATGAGAGCGGGAGCAGAGGAATTTATTAACTGCACAGATTATTGGTTTCATTTGCATTTTAAATGAAATTTTCTGACCTGTTGGTCTTGGTGGAGTAGAATTTGTGGGTAATCAGATAAAACTTCCTGGAAGAAGGGAAAAGAGAAGAAATAATATGCATTGTAGTGTTTTCCAGTAACCTGAGATATTTTTTAAAATAACTTAATCCACTTGTGAATAGCGGAGAGGCGCCGTGGTGAGCTGGGTGGACTCACTAATTGCTTCTGATTGAGCAAGCGGTTCTTTCCTGACACGTCCTCATTCCCGGTCACCTCTGGCTGGATTCATCCATAATGCCAGGGCTGGTTTTCACTGCGTTGCTTGTATCTGCATAAACTGTTACAGAACTCAGGGCACCTCAAAATTGGACACGTTTAGCTTGCCGAAGGGGAAATTGATTTCTCAGTACCTATTCCAGGTGGCCTGTGATTTTCTGGCAAAATGATAAGGATTCAAAGTCAAGAGGCGAAACGTTAATGAATAAGCAGGGAGAAAAGTCATGCCCCAAATGCAAATTAAAACAAGACACTTTTTAAATTAACAAGGAAATATAAACATGTTAGTGCCTAGTGTGAGCTTGCCAGAAAATAATGGTGAACTGGGCACCTCCAGTGTTGAGAGTAGGGGTGGAAACGGACGTGTCAGAAGACCTGTATACAGTGAGCTTTTGAGCCAATGGTTCAACTTCGGGAAATGGGAATTTCCTCTACGGAAGGATGTAATTGTACGAACAGAGCAAGTTATCTGTACTGTTTTATAGCTCATAAGTAGACGCAAACCAAATAATCAGTCACAAAAGGATAATGAATTACCTCGTAGTACACTTATGATGTGATGCTAAAGTCGAAGCCAGTTGAGGAATTATAGACAGGCTCTCTGTTTGACCACGGAAGGCATGTTTCTGCATGTGGACCAAACTGGAAGGGAAATGAGAGCAAACTTGTCTTTGTTATTTCCTTTTAGGAAGACCCACGCTGTCTTAAAAATACAAAGCAAGGCATCCATTTTTTTTTCATTTTTTGGAAAAATTGCAGTGTGAATTGTTCTGTCATCATTTATTTCCATTAGAAAACACACTTTCCCCTTAATTGTCTACCAAAACAACCTTTTTTTTTTTTTTCTAAGCATAGTTCATGGTATTTTTTTGTGGTGTGGTCGTTTGCTCCCCGTGAATATGTATTTCAGTGGAACTTGGTAAAAGGTAATGGACAATTTGTAGACATTCACTTTAAAGTCAATATTTTTGAACTTTTCTTGGGAGCTCATTGTAGTCACATGCAGTTGGAGGGAGGCATGCGGGAGGCGCCCCCCGCCCCCCAGCACCACACGGACTTTGAGACCATCCAGGGCATTGATTCTGATTTCAGCAGCCCTGTTTTCATTTCAGTGTATTCCTTTTGTGTCCTCTCCTCTACCTCCTTTCTCCATATACGTGTGCATGTATATGTGTGTCCATGTACGATTATGTGCATACACACTCTAGATGTGCAGGAAATATGTGTTTCTATACATAAAATATAGACACACATATATTTTTTCCTGTAAAGTATATGTGTGGATGATCTTTGGGGATAGAGCAATTTCATTTGGGAATACAATGAGCTAAAGCAACTAGGCCTTCTGGTCTAGTTAAGCATCTGAAGCTCTGCTCTCCAGTCACTACAAACGCAGTTGCAATTAGAGGGTGACTGTAATCTGAACACAGTTTTTAGTAGTGTAATATTATGTTGAAGAGATTTTTATTGCTCTCTCCCTGACAGTATGCTGGCTACAGGGAGCGAGCCCCATTTTCTGCATTCAAGTAATTATAGTTGCTCTGAGCCTTGGGACTCTGCAATAGAAATGTAGTTGTGAAAACAAGTGAGGCATCACCGTGACTTGACATTTGCGTGATCTGGCTGTCAGAGACACTTAGATTGATTGCATAATAAAAACCCTTTTGCTTAATATTGCACTACAGGAGGGGCCGCATCAAGTGCACAGGCCCCTTGGCTGGGAAATGGTCGCTCAACAGAACGCCGTAACCAGGAGAGCGGGGCAGAGTGTAGGCTGAGCGGGTGCGGACTCTCGGGGGTGGGGCGTCGCCCAGGGACTATGATTTTTCGGGGGAGGCTGCCGAAAATGAGGCGTTGGTGGTGTGCGCATGGGGTCCTACAGGCGCCCCAGCCTGGTCCAGGCTGCTGCTCACTTCGCTTCCTCTGCAGTGCTGACCTCCGTCCCTTGTTCCGCCACGAGTGCCTGTGAAATTGCATTAAAACTCACACAATGATTTTATGCAATGAATTGATTTTCAAGAGTCTGAGCGCCTAGCACGGGATGTGCTCAGCTAGAAGAAAAAAACAGGAGCTGCTCAACCTTTGCACCCCGCTTTCTATAGGCATATGTTCCGAAGTCGGGCTCTCAGAAAAGAGCTCTTTAGAGGTGCGCTCGCTCTCGCCCCGCACTGTTGGCAGAGTCGCGTGCCTTCCAGCTCGCGTGTCATAAACCCGCTGGCGCGGACACTCGTGTCCACCTCCCACCGAAACCCATAATGCGGTTTAACACGGTGCTCTGGGAGACAGCATTTTTTACAAACCCCAAACCCCACCGTGGAGCACGGACCCCGCATTTCCTACCTTCGCCCCAGCTGGCCTCTGCCCGTCGACCTTGGGTGGGTGTTTTCAGGAAGGCAAGCTTTTGCCCTCACGGCCCGGTGGGCCCTGCTGCCCAGACCCAAGTGGGACAAACGCCTTCAGGCACCAAGGACTTTGGGAATTTCTGAGGCGCGATCCAGACTCCACTCCAGCTTGTCCTTTCTCTTCAAAGGTATGCAATGAGGCTGAAGAACTTCGCCAGTCCCTTGGCCTCAGACGGGGACAAGAAGCTGGCAGTGCTGTGGTAAGTCTCCCGAAGGTCGTAAAGCAAGGGCTGAAATGTCGCAGAAGGATTTGAAAAGTCCAGAGTAACTTAAGCTGCTTAGCCCAGATCATTATTCTTGTTTTCCATTAAACTATTAAAGGATAACTAATGGATTTCTCCAGTCACTGACTACACATTCCCTCTCCTAATTTATACTCTGATCAAGATGAGGTTTGAATGCTACCCCTTCTCTTATAAAAACATCCTTGCTTTATGATCCTCAGTAACCGCAGGAGGGTCAGCGTCCCGGGGCTCCCCGAGTGGATGGCCGTGTAAATGGGAATCAGCATTTTGTTTTACAGTGTAGGTTTCTAGAAACATCTGCTTTAATGTATCGCTTCCCACACAGCTACCGGTGTTTGTCGCTGCTCTACCTGCGGATGTTTAAGCTGAAGAAAGACCATGCCATGAAGTACTCCAGGTCACTGATGGAATATTTTAAGGTAATCCTTATTTGGACCATTTATACATGCCACGTAAGCAAAACTGCTGATGAGGCACAGCCCTCCCGCCTCTCCTCCGGGGCTAGGCTTGGATTGGAGTCCAGGCAAAGAAGGTTCACTCTTGAGCCCCCGCTTATTTTCTGGACTGACCCCGTGAAGTCATGTGCCTCAGCCTGCATGCTGGACCCCCTTAGGCTGCGGGTCTTGTGTTCAGGCGAGCAGCTAGCCGAGAAGTTTCTCAGCAGGGAGAGAATGCTCTGTGGCCATCCTGGACGGGAGGAGCACTTGAAGACAAAACTCATGGCTTTGCTTATTACCAAAATAAGGACACAAGCAACAAAAAATACATAAATGCATAAATAAGGAAGCAAATAAGTTTATCTACCACCTAGGGAGGCACCTAGCATTTATTTGCAAGCAAAAAAAAAAAAAAAAAGACCTTCAACCACAAAATTTGGGGGTGAACAAGATCTTATGCTTGCCCCCCCCACTGTACCAGTTGTCAGCGACTTGAGGGTCCTTATGGCCTCTGTGGTTTTTGTCCTCCAACAGTGGCCGTGGTTTACAGTTAGGGACACTCAGTGCTCCTCCTGTTCGGCAGCTCTCAAAGGGAAAGGACAATTGATTTCTACTTATTTACGTATTTATTTGTTTATTTATTCCCCAATGCATGTGACCGCTTGGCCAAATTGCAGCGTAGCAGTTGTTTAAACTGTCAGATCATACTCTCGCATCAAACACCTAAACCCAGGCAGGACACAGCGGGGTGCGATGCTGCTTGGGGGCAAACGGCGAGTCCCCGGGCTGCTGTGTGGTGGTGTGGCCATATGTCCACAGCCTCAACCTGGGCTCTGGAGTGGTAGTTCTTAAACTCGAGGGGGCCCCTGTGTCGGCTCAGGAGCTCTGCACCGCCCCCGCAAGGTTCTGATGGGATGGGGCCTGAGAACAGGCCTTTCCAACATCCTGGCTGATGCTGCTGCTGGTCCTGGGTCACGCTTCGAGAGCCTCTGCTCCATGACCCATCCTCTTCTGCCCATCCTGTGCAGCCCTCAGGGCGCATCAGCCCCCCTCCAGCCTCCTCCCCCTACCCCCGGGAGACACGCACTGCCATGCTGCGCAGCGCATTGAGCTAGTTTCAGGTATAAGCTGGAGTCTGTGGAGTGCACGTTCCAGTGGGTCACATGCTTACTGGACTCCCAAACATGACATTCTCCCCCCAGCACCCCATTTGCAGAGGAGCCTAGGCCAGACCCCAAAAGGCAGGGAGGAGCACTACTTGGGCCCTGACTCGAGAGGCAGGCTTGAGTCAGGCCCACCGCCCTGACCCTGTCTGCCTGAGCTCTCAGCCTGGAGAGGCCGAGTCACATCCCTGCCCTGTGGTGGTGATGCCGAAGACCAGGGTCCCCTGCGCTCCACAAGTATATGCCACAAACGTACAGGGGGCCCATTTTCTAAAGCAGCCCGGCTCCAGGAGAGGGCAAAAGACTTCAGCATCCTATGCCATGCAGCTCAGGACCAGTGACATTGCTAAACGGGGAAAACTGTCAGCTGTGAGGATGTGCATAGAAAAATAGCAAACCCAGACGATTCACCCAAAAACAAACCAACCCCAACAACTAAGACTGGGTCCATTCCTAGGATCCCAGAAGTCAGCCCACCCAGCAGCCCAGGGAAAAAGTTTGCAAGTGGAATTAAGGTGAAAAGCTTGCCTATACGCTGAAGCTTGTTTTGCAGAATAAATTTCAGATGAGGATAATTAAACCACTTCTTGGAGAACTGAGTCTGATTTCACTGGGCCTTTTAGTTTATAAGATCTTTCATCAAGTGACTTTCGTGGCCCTGATTGGAGCCCACTAATTACCCTCGCCAGCTATTTCCATCGAGGGTGCACCGTGGTGTGCTGGCATGCACACACATCCCAGTTCTGCTAACGAAACAGGAAGCACCCCGAAACACTAATCAATATTAATGTCCTCTCAATCACACCCCCATCTGTTTTGGAATTAATAAAACACCAAATAGATATCCTTATTCCCCTCTCTCTCTTTCTCTTTTAGCAAAATGCTTCCAAAGTCGCTCAGATACCATCTCCATGGGTAGGCAATGGAAAGTAAGTATTCTATGAGAATTGTTTTTTCATGAAAATGAATGTCTTAATAGCCCCCCCCCCCCCCCAATATTTTGTATTGGCAACTCAGGAGCAAAGGTCAACTCTGACAGTAGTCACTTTTGTGCCCACAAAATGCTACTTAGGTTTCAGTGAATGACTGGCGCCAGCCAGGCACAGAGCGGGATCTCTGTGATCCAGGCATATGGATAAAGGAGAGGCCTGGAGCCTTCAGTGGCTTTTTCAGGCTTTATATTTGTGGGACCCTCACCGGCCGTCTCCGGCGGCCGCGGCCGGGGAGCGAGCCGGCGCTGCAGAGGCTGGGGGCAGCCTCTGCAGCCCAGCTCTCAACCGCGGTCAAGGAGCGTAAACCGGCGCTGCAGAGGCTGAGGGCCTCTGCAGCCCAGTGCTCAACCGCAGGCTCAACCACGGCCGGGGAGCGAACCGGCGCTGCAGAGGCTGCGGGCAGCCTCGCAGCCCAGCGCTCAACCGCTGCGCCACCGTGGAAGGCTCCCTTTATTGAGCTTTTTTACATCATTTGTAGTGCGGCAACCAGGCAGGCAGCGGGGCTGGGAGGCTGCCGGCGAGTGTTCACTCATCCTGGGCTGTCTAGGGTTCACTCGCGGGCTCCATTCTCTGCTACCTGTGCTTCTCTGCTGCTGCTTCTGCTGCCGTTGCTACTACTGGCATCCCATGACGCTGCCCTTCTATGCCCAGTCATGCCCACCCCTTACTCCAGGTGTCCGCGATCAGGCACGCGTGCAAGCCCACAGGTGTCTATCATTAATGCTAATAGTGGGAGGGTGGAAAATCCTGACCATTTTCACTTACCCTGCAGGCAAGATTGAAAAGTTTAATATGATGTGACTCCAAAGTTCTTTAACTATTTGATCTTTAAACCAAATGATGGCCATAAAGCTCTCTCTTAATGAGATGGCAAGCACCATGCCATTTCAGGGAGGCAGGATAAAGTTAACTCAGCTGCGGTGATTTCTCAATGATTCACTCCGTAATGAAAGACCGATGAAATATTCATTGATATATGGTAAGTGCTGTTTAATAAAACCAAAGGCATAATAGTGCTGAAAATGTGAAGGCCCTTAGTCAGTCAATTATCTGAGCCTTCATGATGATTTTCATATTAATACTAAAATACCCTGACCTAAAATAAAAAAGCATCTGCACAAAAGCTGATCTACAGCCCAGTGAACTTGCCCCGCGGCCGCGGCCATGTTCACAGCTGTCAGCAATAGGGCGGCTTAGTCTTCCCGGGCAGGGTGAGCGGTCATTGGCCAGCTCCAGGATGAGCTCAGTGAGGCCGTCCTCTCTCTGGGTTTCTTCTTCCATTGCGAACATGGAAGGGCCGGCCCTGAAGAGTTGTGAGGCCTCTTCAGAGGGTGCTTTGCAATGGCAGTAGACATGGCACCGGCACTTACTGGCTTGAGCAGCAGTTTCTCCTCCGATTCTCGCCCTCCCTCACCAGCCCAGCCCCACTTCCCACCCACGGAGCGGGCGGGGAATCTGGGTGCCTGTGGGCGTAGACGTTCGCAAAAGGCTGCTTTTCCAGTTTCATTTCAAAATTCTTATGTCTCTGATCAAAACACTTTCTTCAAGAGTGAGTTTCCTCTGCTGATTTATAAATATCTACAAAGCACACTCCCAAAGCAGTGGGATGATGAACTCTACTTTGAGATCATAAAGACATTCAGAGTGAGGGAACAGATCCATTAAGAACTACACATTAACTCAATTACTCGATTGAAAGGAAGTACCGTTTACATTGTTGAATTAGGTCTTACTCTTATATTAACGAACAAAAGCAAGAGAATGCATCTCTCTGGAAGTTCAGAAAATAAAAATAACCATTGAAAGACCCAGAGAAAGCTATTTTCTCTGAGCACAGAGTAGAGCAAGGGCAAGTTCAGGTAAGCAGCCATTAAAGGATCACTGGGATTTTTTTTTTTTCTAATTCTGAAAGGAAAGAACTCAAACACAGCCTAAGCTTGTGAAGTCACACTAAAAGCCTGCTGAAATGATTTTGTAAGTGGCTTCTGTCTGAAGAAAGCACACTCCCTCTGGCAGGCCATAAAGCTTTTTGAGCGAAGCAGCTCAGAAGAGGTTACATTCCACTCATTCAGCAAAGACTTGTGGCACCAGAGCTGGCTTCTGTGTACCCAGTCCAGTGACAGGAGGTGACACATGTAAGCAGAGTTCTCTGGCAACCCAGGAGAAAAAATGCCCAGGCCTCCCTGGATGCTCAGGGAGGACTTCCTCTCTAAAGTAACACAATAGACGTGGCAGGCTTACAGGAGGAGGGAGCCGCCACTCGTTTGAGACATTGGCCAAGGAAAGGGTTGTGGGGCATCTGGTGGTCTCTGGAGGGCATGTCCCAATCAAGCTGTGCCTGCGTGAACCTAGGTGAGACCCTTTAAGCTGGAAGAGGTGACCAGTGTGTGTGGTGAGGGGAGAGGTAGGCGCTCACGCCAGGTGAAATCCTTAGTAGAGTGGAGGGTGAGACTTTGCGGTTACATGGTGGAAGGGAAGAAAAATGAACTTTGGGAGAACACAGACCTGCCTTCAAGTCCTGACTCAGTCGCTGTGTGACCCTCTAAAAGGAGCAGAACTTCTCTGAGGCCTTCGTCATCGGTGACCAGTGGTGGCAGAAACTCACCACAGCGTCATCATGAACTGAGAGATACATTCGGCGACGCCCGCGGATGGCTGCTTGGCACACAGAAGCTTTAGCAAGTGGCGACTGCTGCCATGGCTTGGGCTGTCGTTTTCACCTGACTTCGACAGCATGAAGAACTCCTGCAGGTTCTCCTCCACACTTCGCTGTGGGCGCTCACACTACAGCGCCACCAAAGCATGGGTTTGACTCCCTTAGTAGACAATTTGCTCTTTTCAGTAAGGGGCCATTCGTTCTTTCACTCACCGCGGACGGCCTCCGCCACCCTGGTGTTCACTCGGCACATGGTATGCGCCCCAAGCACCGCCTGGACGCTGGGGCCGTAGCGCTGCAGAAGTAGACGAAAAGCCCTGCCCTCCTCGAGGTCACGTTCTGCTGAGGAAAGACAGTAGAAAAAGATGCTGGATGCCGGACGCTCACACAGGCCATTGAACAAATCCCAACGAGGCGGGGGCATAGAAGCGGCTGCTGGGGTGGGGGAGGGGCGATGGAATGATCTCGCATAGGGTCGCTAGCGGAGGGCTCTGGTCCAGGGAGCCCCCTCCATTCCTGGGGGACATACAGTCCAAGCAAGCACCTCCGAAGTCGGGACATGCCTCCTGGGCCTAATGGGGGTACGTGCCTAACGGGCCTGAGGAACAGCATGGGGGGAGCCTGGCGGAGAGGTGAGAGGACAGTGGGCAGCTCCGAGGTACAGAAAAGCCGGGAAGCATGTGCGTGTGTCCACGTGCCATGAGTGTGTGAAGGGGGCAAGGTCAGCAGGTGGGCCCCCAGGAAGAGCCAAGGACGCGGGACCCTGAGCAGCAGGGACAGCCACATTGGCCTTGGGGCGTCGTGAGATGAGCGCAGCCTCCGCCCAGCTGGGTCAGAGCCACGCTTCCTGGGCCACGTGGCTGGCTTCACGTGACCAATGCATGCCGCGCACACGCGCCCCTCGGGAGGGGGGTCAGGGAGCCTGGAGGGCCACAGCAGCGAGCTGCGCCGTAGCTCCCTCTCCCCCACCACGGGCTGTGTCAAGGAAAGAAAGGCATTTTATCAACCACAAAAAGACTTTCTCAAGATGTAGAAGGCACCCGGAGGTGGCTTGTCCCTTGTGGCTTCTGGCCAGGACCGGCAATCATGGAATCCAACCGTGCTCTCCAGTGAGGAAAGGCCACAGAGGGCAGGACGGGCTTAGCAGCTCCTAGATGTGGGGCGAGAACTCAGTGTCCTGCGACCCCAGCACTTCCGATCCCTTCTCAGCAGTGTGGACGGACAGCGCTGCAGTTTTCTCGAGATGACGAATGAGGATGTCGCGCCTTTCTTGCCTTAAAATGACATTTCAGATTTAATGACCAGCACAGGGGGGAAGAGAGCAGCGTTTGCATCCTGCCACGACGCCAGCGAGCATTCACCGCTGGAGCTTTTGTTTCTTTGCTACCAGCCAACCCTTCCGCGCCCTCGCTGGCTCCCCACACGCCCCGCCGAGAGAATAAATCTATCAAGGAGTCGTGAAACATCTCAGAACTGATCAACAGAGCAAGAAAACCTTCACACCCTCTTATGCCGGACCAGTGCAGGGCCAGCGGGAGCCCGCGCCTTCCGCGCACCCCGGGACGGACCGGAAGGCCTCCTGCGTTTGCGGAAGTGACCACCGCCCCCTCTTGAGCCGAGAGGCCAGCATGCACTTTGAATTGCTTCCATTTCTAATCAGCTGCACTTGTGCCATTTTGTGATTACTGCCCCCCAAATCCTTTGTGCTGCTAGTGGGGTGCGCATCTGTTTTGTGAGAAGGGATTGGCTCCCAGGAGCCCCACCAGCCTGGAAGCAGAGTTGCACGCAGCAACAGCTGAGGATAAAGACACGGAGGGAGAGCAGGCTCCTTGATGATGTGCTGGGCTAGGTCTGGAGGGAGGAGGACGAGCTTCCTTCAAACCTACAGACTCAGGGAGTCCCAAACACCACTTCCCCCGTTCTCTCACTCTCCCCAAAAAAAGTAGTGCCTTCGCCTGGACAGTCATTCAAAGTGCGGCTGAAGGAGAGGGAGGCCGGTCAGCACGGTGTGCATACCTTGCTCGTGTGCACTGGAACCCCGCACACTTTGGGGACGGGTGCATTCGTGCATCTGCAGCCGCCAGCGGAGGGCCAGGCCCTCCAAGCTCTGTCCAGCCCGCAGGTGACTCCTTATTACTGACATTAAGGAACTAAGCAAAAATCTGTCTGCGGATGCTGGTACCGCCCAAAGTAGAGCTCCAGAGACTTCTGTGTGTACACCAGCCTGCAGGCACCAGTCACTGTCTTAAGCACCCCAAAGAGCGCCGCAGAGTCCTCCTTTCTCCTTCCCTCATCCTGCTCCTTGGGCGGGGGGGGGGTTACGAACTGCACTTGGCTAAAGGTGCTGACTGTGTTTGGCGCCAGCTGTCCTTGAGCTTCCACAAAACACTGATGCTAGACCAGCACCGCACAGCAAGTCTTCTCTAACTGCCAGTTGCCGTTGCGGCGGAGGGTGGGAGGGCATCATCGCTGCGAGTTTTGCAATCTCTGAAACATCACAACACTGTCATCTGTACAGTCCAAGGAAAAGCCGCGTGTACAGGTAGCCTGACTGGCAGAGGAAGTTTGCCCACCTCCCCTGCAGAGTCCTTGCTGGTTGTCAAAGGCAGTGCGACCTCAGTGCTTGTGCTAAGAAAGGAGAAGGAGGGCTTGTTCTACGGCCTCGCCCTGCAGCCTTGTGTGGGCTGGTCAGATGGGGTGGGGGGTGAGCTCACTCTAGGCTGATGGCAGAACCTCTAGGATACCCTCTGAGAGGAGTGGGTGGAGTGTGGGCACAAGCTCCACTCGTGCTTCATCCATGTTCACCATGTCAAACCACGCTGTGGCCAGTGGGGTTCTCGTGAGGGCTCAGGGTGATGAGAGAGGCCTAAAAGCCCACTGTTGCTCTTCCCAACCAGCCTAATGAGGGCTCTCATCCCATTTCCCAGGAACACTCCGTCCCCAGTGTCCCTCAACAACGTCTCTCCCATCAACGCAATGGGGAACTGTAACAACGGCCCAGTCACCATCCCCCAGCGCATCCACCACATGGCCGCCAGCCACGTCAACATCACCAGCAACGTGTTACGGGGCTATGAACACTGGGACATGGCTGACAAACTGACGAGAGAGAACAAAGGTATGCCTGTCTACTCGACCCGTTTTTCACAGGCCAGGATGGAGCGACCTGTGCTTGAAGGACTTGAGTTTTCCACGGTAGCCTTATCTGTCTGTCTCTTTAGTTTCCAGGGCCTAGATGAGGGGCGAGGGACTTACCTCAGGGTGGAGTCAGTGACCAGTTTCTGCTGAGAGAGTGAAAAAGGCCTGGAATTTTGTTCCCCTTTAAAGCTTAAACTAATATGCATTGTGATATATTGACAAATGACTGTCTCAGATTTTTACTCAATGGTAAGGATCAACACAGAAACAGAGGCAAAAGAATGATTTGCCACTTAATTAGGATCCTGTTGGCATCTGTTGTCAACTCTAATCTTTTATTTTTTGGAGCGGTCGAACTAAGGCCTTCTTCTGATCGCCCCAGCTCTGGAGACCCCATGTAATGTGGCCTGCATTCAGAAGCGAGGGCCAAAGCTCAGCTAGCAGTTTCCACACAGGGAGAGCTGGGACATGGAGTCGGCCTCCTGTTCATGGTAACACTTAAGGCTAACTAAAAACAAATGTCAGGAGGACCCTGCTTGGCCAGAGAGTGGCAGTGGTCATAAGCGACTCCTGCTGCCATCTGTCTGTAACCCTCACTGTCATGTAGGTTCACAACGAATACCCACTGTTGTAAGGAAGGTGTGAAGCCAACACTAAGACCACTTTTGACCTGGCCAGTCATGTGACTTGGCTGATTCTGGCCCAGCAGTCAGAGACAACCCTGCTCGGTGCGGGCATGGGCAAATGTGGGCCTTCATTGACCCTGCTGCAAAGAGCTGAGCAGCAGTTGAGGGCAGGAGGAGGCAGGCATTAGCATCCTGGCAGTCTAGTGGCCACTGCCAGGCCATGACGTGGCATAAGTTACCTGGAGTGAGCTTGGATGCTGCAAGGTCCCGAGCATTGATAAGGCTTTCCAGAAGTCAGGTTGGGGCTGCAGGTCACCTAGATGCAGATAGGACACCCCAATGATTTAACCAAAAAGGACTGACTGGGCCTCCTGGCCCGATTCTTCTCCCAAGCCCTCACGGCCCAAGCAGCTGTCCGTTCTCTTCCTTCCCCGGCTCCAGGATTGCAGCCTGCATCCCTTCTCACCGAAAGCCACTGCTCTAGTCTCTGGGTGCTTCTCCCCAGAGTGTGATGGAGAAATGAAGCAGGGCTTCCCAGCCCCTCCCCTTACCACGCATTCTTACCGCACTGCTCAGCTTGCGGGAAACTCACAGTGAACCAGGAGCACGCAGATTTGGGAGCCTGATCGCTTCAGCCTGAATCCCACTGGGTCACCCACTGGCTGGGTGAGCTCCACCCAGTTAAATGAGCCTAGGTCTGAGTCCGGCTTCCATCTCTGTAATGGACAATGATAGTATGATGAGGACAAGGAGAACGACAGATGCGGGCTGAAGGAAGTTACATGTGCAAAGCAGCTGGCATTAAACACTGGGTACGGGGTAGGAATCCTGCAAATATGTGCGCTCTTTCCTCACTCCAAAGCATTATATATACATATATATATATCTGTATAACCCCCAGAGTCTGTGGGGACCAAAGCACAGACCGCAATTTGACACCTTCCCCTCTGTGCATCTCCAAACTCACGCCAACTCCCAGGACTGCCCTCAGTGACCTGCACAGTGGGCAGTTCTGGTGTACTTTTCTAGACTTGTGGAAATCCACAGACAACCGATCCAGGCAACCAGACCCATGCAGGGGTTCCAGAACTGCCAACAAAGGCATCAACATGTCAAGTCTTGCCCACCTTGTCTGCCTCCACCGTCTGGCTTATTTTGCACTGGTAACTGGAGGGCATTCGGTATTTGTGGGTTTCCTTCAAAATCGCATCCCTTTTTGAGACCTGTTCAAGTGATTCCTTCTAAATTAACCACACAGCTTGCCAGGAGCAGTGGGCGGTGCTACTGCTGCGTGAGTGAAACAGTGCCGATCTGGTCTTTAGTATAAAGGGACAAGGAGTCGCTCATTCCCTGCCTGACACTGAATCTAGACTCCATCACTCTACCTCAGAAGACCTATCCCAGTCAGGTTACCCTTGGACGTTCAGATTGGGGGCAGGCTCCACCATGGAATCCTCTCTGCAGCCTCATCACTTCTGAACTGCTTAGAGGGTGGCATTCTTCACACATCTGTCCTGTCCACACAGCTATGGGGAAGCTGAGAGGGCTCTCCTTTTGCACTGCTGTTCTGCTTCCCACTGGAGACAGCCATGTACTTGAATCTCCTTCACCCAATTGTGCAGTGGACATGGCGAGGTTGGCTCTCCCAGGGCAAGGCCTTCTCCCTGCCCTGTGCCTGTCCACCTATGCGGCTGCAGACAGCTTAGTGCCGAAGGTTCTGGTACTAAAATGGCTGGTGGAACTGATGCCACCTCCTGGCCTTTGATCTAGAAGACCTTTTCCCTGTGTCCCCAAATGCTTCAAATGCTCGTGGAAAGCAGTTATGAAACTGGTGACCTGGGTATCTGATTAGATACCACTGAATAGAATGCCACAGCGGACTTGACCCAGGAGACCCAGGGGACACGCTGGCTCCCACCCAGCTGGCGTCCACTTGACAATGACTGGGTCCCCTACTCTGTCCCCTTACATAAGACTGTCGTCTTACATAAAAAGCTATTTTAGATGCCCAAAATAATTTGCTGCTTTATTGGCACAAATTACTTTTATTGCCTAGTCCAGGTTAAAAAGTCTCACATAATCAAGTGAAGTTGATACCCAAAGGAGGAGCCCATGTTAGACACAGCATGGAGGATAAGCGCGTTGTCTAGAGAAACTCCAGCTGGCGAGCCAGCAGCGCATGTCACCCGTGAGTGAAAATTGCTTTCCAGGAAGGCAGGAGACCCCCCAGTCCCCTGTAAGGTACTCTCCAGAGCCCAGCCCCCAACCAGCACAGCTGTGGCTTCCCCCACGGGGGCAGGGCTGCCTCTTTCAGCAGCTAACCAAGAGGGTGCCTGGAGCCCTCTGGCAGCAAGGCCGCCACAGTGCCAGCCACCTCAATGTAAAGGTGACAAGGGAAGCCTGGCAAACTTCTGGACATCATGTAGCTTCTCCCACAGCACCCGTCCCCGCCCCGCCCCAAAGCAGACATTCTAAAATGCCAGGCACACAGGCGAGCAGTGTGGCCGCCATGCTGCCCCTCCCCCCAGTCAGCTGGGCATTCTTACCACCCATGTGCACTGGGGCGCAGGGGCCACTCATTACGTGGCACAAACTCCCAAGTCATTTTCCTTCCCTAAAGGAACTGGTGATGACTCAGCCGATGAGACCCCCCCCCCCACAGCCCCGTTCAGCGGGGGGTGTCGGTCAGTGCACGCAGCAGTCCTCGCTGTCCAGGTTCGCTGCCTGCAGCGACAGAACCCCAGAAAGACGGGGAACTCGGCTGGGTTCAACAAAAGCGGGGGGACCATTCCCAATGCAGTACGTACGGAATGTCCGACAGCTTCGTCTCAGGCAGACCTTGCTGCCTGCATTGTGTGCATCAGGACCCCTTTCCAAATATAAATGTGATCGCTAAAAACATCCATCCAGCATGTGATATAAAAGTGGGATTCAATACATTTTACTTTATGTACCTAATTTTATGTTTTCATGTGTAAATATATATTTATTTTACGTGTGCTGGTGGGTGTATCTCACAAACATCTCCAGGATCATAAATGCACTTTTAGAATCTGCTGTCTCAGACTATATAGAGAGTGAAAGAATCATAAGGAACTGAGCTACCTGCTTTTGTGTTGTATTGATCGAGGTAACACAAGCGGTATTTCGGCTGCGGAGTCTTGGGAGCTAGGGTTAGCCCTGTCCACAGGGCTGTGTCGGGGCGTATTTCCATGATACCATTTACAGGCCTGACCAAGCCCCGCTCTGATTTTCAGAATTCTTCGGCGATCTGGACACGCTGATGGGGCCTCTGACCCAGCACAGCAGCATGACCAACCTTGTCCGCTACGTTCGCCAGGGACTGTGCTGGCTGCGCATCGATGCCCATTTGTTGTAGTGGGCGCTCCCCCACCTCTAGCATTGCCGCCCATCGCCTACCTCTGCCAGAAGCACCCCCGGTCGCTGGTGGAACGCCTCTCATTTGGGAAAGTTCTCTTTGATTATGTTTGTTTTAATATGCTTCTTTTGATATCTGTGAAAAACAGAAGTCATTGTAAGTGGACACTACAACTTGAGAGCAGTGTATGTTTTATTACTTAGTCATTTTTCACTATTTTATATGCATCTGTCAGATCCCACCATCCTTTTGTGCTTGATGGAATGACCCAGTCCCTACAGTCTTGTTTAAGTCCACACTACCCAAAACACAGGATGGAAAGCACTTGTGATGATAACAGGTTCTAGAAATGAAATGGTCATATATGTGTACATGTGTATATCTACATATATATATATTTCATTTCATTATCTAGATATGAACTTAGACACAAAGGACCTACCTGCAAAGATTCAAATTTTCAGCAATAGCCATTCCTCAAACTGGTGTCCAGAAAACAACGTGTTTCAGAATCCATTGTTAAACTTTTGTGGTTCCCACAGACTCAATCTTCAGGTGAGAATTTCCATTGTCAAAACCCAGCAGTTAGAGGGCATCGCAAAACCATAACATCCGGGGTGTTGAGGAGATAAATGAGCACGGCAGGCCACGCTTCTGCTGCCGCTGTGACCACGCCCTAGGGGCTTGTTTGGGGTCAGCAGCCCTCTCCTGAATCCCTATTTTTTTTAAATTTTTATGGTGCGCAGGAGGGGTGACGTTCATGTTGACAACTTCATGACATCCAGCGGCATGAGTATTTTTGAACTCCGACATTTGAAGGGTAAATCCTCACCTGGATTCTCTTTGTGTGAAGCTCTCCTTCTGAGGGGCAATTGACTGGGTTTCCGCCCTAGTGGCCAAAATGCTGTAGTTCAGTTTTTAGCGAGGAGAGCAAGGAGAGGTCTGGAGAACGCCCAAGGACGTGGCACCTTGGCCACTTTTGCAGCCGGTAGGTTGGTCCATAACTGGCGGGATTTTTTTTTAAATTGTATTTTGTTCAAATCTCCAGAAACAAAGGTCAGGTGCTCACTACCTAGAAGAATCTACAGTTTGCTTCCCAGTGGCTTTAAAATTCTGACTGCCCTAATTATTGTCCACATTTCCTATTTTATGGGCTCTTTTTTTTGTTCTTCCTTTTTCTTTTGTCTTTCTTTTCTTTCACTTTTTTTTTTCTTTTGGTTCATTAGCTTTTGACTGAAATGCAATCACTGATTTTATTCAATGTCTATATTAACATAAATCATTTCCATGAAAGTTCCAAAGAAAACTCCAAACTCTCCAAGAAGTAGCTAGCCTTTTAACAAAGAAAACAAGTCTTGGGGTAATGTTCCACCCTAGGGTGCTTGGAAGGAGCCCTGAAGATTGGGAACAGGTCACCTAATTTCCACATCAGTTGCAACTATCCCCACCCCTTATGGTCCTCTGTGTTCACTTTATGTCTCTAAACATCACAATGTAAATATCATCTTTGGTGTTCCAGGAGAACCCCCATGTGTAGTCAACACTAGCCATACATTAGTTCTTTGTAATTACCTGCCGGTATATAATTCCACGTAGCCTTTAATCTGCTGAGTTACTGAATTCTGTTCACTGAATTACGACCAGATAAATAATAGTTACATACCTATGAAAGATGCAAACTTGTATGATTTTAGAAGCAAGTCATGCAAGTCAGAGACAAGAACAGCAAGGGATCACGCTGCACTCTTTATTGTCATGGTTAGATGTAGCCCCGGTTGCAAAAGAGCGAGACCTGAGCTCCACTCTGGTCATCCTTGAGCTGAGGGCCCTTTGTTATAGAATAAGGCTGTGGAAGTTGTGCTCCAGTGGCTGAGGCTGCGTTCAGATGGCCGCTGGGGGCGTCCTGGCCGCTGGCGCCAGCACATTTCATGTCCCCAGTGCACGTGAGCTTCACATGCGCAGCCTCAACGCCAACACACACACACGTGTAGAGACACGCACATACAAATGAAACCTGAGGCGTGTTCTGAGCCTCTTCAGTGAGGACTATGACAACAGGAAAGACTCAACACCCAAGGTGGGTGTCACATAGAAAAATGAAGCTGATGGCTTTGTAGTGACTCAAGTTCTCCGTTCATTCCCACGGCTTACCAGGTAGAGCGCCTGGTTTTTACTATATAATGAAGCCCACTGGCTTGACTTGTAAGTTCAACCTAGACCACATCCTAGACCATCATGGATTTAGGAGTAGATTCTTCTTGAAATTCAGTCTTCAGAAACTAGACATTAGAATGGTAGAGGCAGTTTCCCAGGAAACGTGCATGTGGCCCAGTGAAGGAAGGACTTCCAGGGGCTCTAGTTGCCGCAAGTTGTTCTATCTACTTTGCATACAACAGGGGGCAGCAGAGAATCCTGCTGCTTGATGTCGCCTCTGGTGGCTGAGTGTACAGTGTGCGCCAAGTCAGCAGCACAAGGATCAAATCTGACAGTTGAGCGCAGGATCACCACCTGATTGTTTAGCATACTCAGTTTTAAAGCAGCTTAGAAACCGATTCATCTTGGAGGATGAGTTGCCTTCTTCTCCCTGGAGCTGGGACATCGTTCGGCTTCATGAGGACCGTTGCTGGTGTCCAGGCACCATGTCCATCACGCTGTAAATGGTGACGCATGTCATCGCTGTGCTGCTATTTGAGGGGTTGATTTTGTCAAGTGAATCACTTCAGAGCCCCAGTTCGTGGGAGGGATATAAGACATGTGGCTGGCAGCGAGAGACCCGTGCCTGGGGCCTTGACGGAGGCGGGGTGGGACCCATCTCAATGAGCACACGGTGGCAGGAGAGCAGGCAGGGGCCTGGCAACGCCACCTGAGCAAGTCCACAGAGGATCTCAGCCCTGCGGGGCCCAGGCAGGGCCACCACTATGCCTTCCTTTGTCACCCAAGCTCCAACCACAGAGAGTTTGACAGGTTTGTGTTAGGGTGTTGGCTTGGCTTTGTATTTTTAAGTAACTTTGGATTTTTTAGTGGTTTTGTCATATTACTGTCTGAGTTTGGTAGGTAGGATTAATTTGAAAAGAGTATACTAGTGTGGTCCTCGGGGTAGAATTTAGCCGTGAGCATGTTGTTAGCCAGCCTGTAGATTGTTAATTACTTAATAATCTCATTGGGAAAATACTAGTAGTTTTATATCTGGATGACATCATTGGGATAGCAGATTAGCTGCTGCTAACTTTTAAAAGACTTGAGGTCGAGATGCCTTTATTCCATGTAATGACATCACAAAGATCTGGGCCTTCAGTCACGCACTGAGTGGCTAAATTAGAAAAACCATGGGCTAAAATGCATTTTGTTGAGTTTCCAAATAGACGGCGTCTCACGCGGGCATCGCATCGCGAAGTGCGCTGGAAAGATCCTTTTCCTCCCGCATCTTTCCCAAAACTCTCCTTTTATCCAAATGTGCATCCCGGAGGTTGAAGCTGGAGTGTGACGTCGGAAAGTATTTTTGAAGGCAGAATCGACTTAGCCGTGAGGGTGAAGACCTCACAGACTTCTCAACCGACATGATACACTCCACCTGCGTGAGCGGGCAGGCGGGAGACCCACCCTGGACTGCTGGGTAAGACTACTCGGTGAGGCAGTGACTTGCTCGCTTAGAGAAGCTTCACTCTCCCCGTTGAGAAAATGTGTGGCGAGACGCTGTCGTTACACAGTTTCAAATGAAGGGGTCGATCCAGTGCCCCCAAGTCAATTCTGTGGGGTGGCACTCGAGCCAGTTGTCATGCTCTGCTACACGACTGGCAGACTCACTCCGTCGTCGTCGTCATGGTCGTCCTCATCTCCACTCGCACAGCCTTATTCTCATAATTAAACGGATTCATGTTCTCTTTGGTGTTAGCAAACTCCAACAGAAATGGCTTCTGTGTATTGATAATCAGCATTTATCCTGGCAGGAGGCTAATCGGATAGGCTGGTCAGACATTAGTCTGATATTTTCGGGGAAAGAAAAAGTATTAATTTCCTTCCATGCTCCTCCTCACAGATCTAGAAACACTCTTGACCAAAAACATCCCATTTTCCTCTGTAATCCATCGACTGAAAGAAAATTGCATTGTGGGGAGGGCGGAGGGGAGGGGGGTGGGGGGTCGCGGGGAGGGAAGCCCTTCCAGGCCAGGCTGTAGTTCTTGCCCCTTTCTGCTTCTCACATGAGATGTTCCTGAATCGTCCGTAAGGCTCACGTTGGGTTAGGGGAACTGAACTGCTTTTCCAATCCATGATCAATCATCGTTCTTCTAAGAGATCGGAGCTTTGCTGTTTCATCAACTGTGCAGTGTAGACTAATGGTGTTTAATAAAAATCATTCAAAATTTCAAACTTTTTCGCCAGTGACCTTAATTTTGTTGGCTCTTTGATGTGTCCCAGACTTTGAGGAGGGAAGGGGGAAGCAAAAAGCCTGCCTGCCAGTGCCAGGTAGTGAGCATCTCGGGAAGCCTCCAGAAGAAAACCCAGGAGTCCTTTCAGCGGGGCGTAGCTTGTCCCACAGAAGGGTCAGTGTTCTCCCACCTGCGCAGCAGGAAGCCAGCTGCGATGCCTGGAGCGTAATAAGAATTGTGTCTGCTTTACCTGTGTGGCTACTGAATAGGAAAAGGGTCTTGAGAGGAGAGCCCAGGGGGTGACCGTGGGAAGTGAGACACATCCCAGATGCACACGCCCAGCTGTGGTGCTGCCATGCTGATGGACTCGGAAGAGTAGTCTCTGGACAGGAAGCACTGTTGACAAACCCCCCAGAGGTCAATTGTTTCACAAGCAGCTCTCTGAGAACGCAAAGCACTTGCTCTGTGGTGTTTGCAGCTTCTGTGGTGTAAACACTCCCACTGTCGCTGACGTGACGTGACCCTACCATGATGTCACTGAACCGAGAGTTGGGAAGAGATGTACACAAAGATGGGAGACTGGGCAAGTCAGCTCCAACACAGGGGCGAAAGCAGCCAGCCACAGACGGTGGGATTTCACATTTGCGTTCACCTGGACATGTACTCACATGTGCACTGCCATGACAAGCCATCACATCCTTGGCAAATCTGAATCAATCCTCACTGCATGTAGGTGGCTGGTGATGACACCCTAGCGATAGGGGTTTTAAATGGAGGTTACCTGTAAAGGATGAAGCCCTCTTGATCCCACAATGCAGATGGGTCGGTGCAAGAGTCCTGCTCTACATCCTCACGGCAAAATGGAAGTCAGACAAGTGCCTAGAAAACCATGATTGATTTAAAACAAGTTTATTATTATTATTATTATTATTATTATTATTATTATTATTATTATAAACGTCCAAGTAGTATTTCTAAATTGTACCTTGGGTAAGTGATGTACTGATGACCATTATGACAACCTTTGTGGAGAGCAAACACTAGGGCCTCCATGGAGAACAGCACAACCCAAATAGATCGAGTTGTTTTCTTGTAATATGGAAACTGAGTCAGTCTCCGCTCTCCCCATTGTTGTTCAGAAGATTTTTACTTTAGTTATTAGGGATTGAAGTTATTCCTTAACATGTGTTTTTAGTTAAAAGTATCTACTTCCTATCCTAGCTCTGAATTCAAACCAGAATGTCTCTGTATCAATTACATGATTAATATTCAGAAATGATCATCCAAACCCAAAATAATTCCCTCTTCTATCCAACATACAGAAAACCAAGGTCACCGACAAGAAGGCATAAAGTGTAGTATTTTTTGTAAGAGTGAGGTTTTCGTTCAGACAAACACACACACACACACACACACACACACGCATGCACATGCACACACACACACGCACACACACACCTCTCTGTTTTCTTAGACCTTCTCATCATAAATCATCCTAAGAGTAGAAAGAGGAATCTCAGAGGACCCGGCCCCTGAATCCTGGGCATCTTCTGAAGTTAATAGGAGGTTTGTATCTGGAAACATTGAAGAACTTACCCGAAAATCCTATTTTTCTTCAAACATTTCCATGTTCTCGCTGGGCCTGTGTCCAAGTTGAATGTTAGCCTGGAGAGAACTGTCTTATTCTTCCATCCTTTCTGTCTTTGGCCTCCACGATTCCTTCTGAGGCCAGCACAATATCAGGATTTGGGGGTCTTCTGTCACCTCATACAACGTTTCCTGACTGGAATAAAGGGAAATCTGGGCCTGGTTAGTTGGCGATACACTAACGCCAGGCCTCTGGGTCCCCCTAGGGCACTGACTAGTTGGTGTGGACACCAAGAGCTAGAAACGTCTTCATCATCATCTTACACATCCCCTATTTCAAAACCATCCTCACTCATCCATCACATTCGCCCACAAATATTACGAAAGAGATTGATTCGGTCTCATGACAATTTGCCTAATCATTTTCTTTCTGGATGATTCTACTCTCTGGATATTTTAGAAAGAAAAATGCCTGAGATGAAATTGCTTGTGTTTATTGAATTCCACAAATTGCTGTTTTTATTTCTATTTTGCTCGGAGTAGTGCTTCTGAAGAGAGTTTGACATAGTGTTGTTTTAGATAAAATGAGTCTGTCAGAAGTGAACCCATTAGAGACACCATGCTGCCAAATGCTCCTTGGGATCAGAAGAGCCCTAGACTCCTTGCCCTTGGCACACTGGCTTGGTTCAGGGTGGCTCTTGGCACCCTCCCCTCCGGAGAAGAGCAACTTCTCTTCTGCTGATGGCGGTGGCTGTGCTGTGGTGCTTGTTACTTGTTCCTCTATTTCCCTCTCTCTCTCGTTTTGGCTTTCGCTTTCCTGCTCGTGTTCTTTCTCTCTCTAAACAAATGAATAGTTGAATTAAATGTGAGCTTCTGAATTGTACTTGTTCATGCTTCTAAGACATAACAGACTAATAAATATAGACGTGTCCTGATTTAAAACATGCCACCTGGAAAGGCATGGTATATTATGAAACCATGATGGCATAATAACTACATGATTACATGGCAGTATAAATGAGTCTGTTCAGTTCATTTGTCCATTTGTGTGACTTCACGGAGCAGTATTTGACCTTTGCAACATCGTTTTGAAGCAAGTGGAGTGGTTGCAGGAAAGTGAGGCAGTTTCTGTGAGGACTTTTTTCAGTGGACTTTAGTCGAAGGCCTGCCAGTGACAGCCATCTTCAGATGTTGCTGTAATAACCATTATAAATATGAACAACAAATTTCTGTTCTGTGTCAACCAGTTTCCCAGAATTCTTCAGTTGAGATTTTTTTTTTGATTCATCCTTATTTTTCTTTCTCCTTTTTTTCTTTTTTTTTTTTTTTTTTTTGAAGGGGTTTGTTATTATTGCCTGAAGAAACACTTTGATTCATAATATGTTTTGCTCCTCTCTCCCTCCCCCACCCGTCTCTCTCCATCAAAATATTGAAATCTGGAGCCTTTGGTAAATCTGCATTAGACCAGTGTATAAACCAGGAATGAAACCTACATTTAGGCCAACATTGATGGGTTCTCAAAGAGGAACACTCCGTGTTCACTGGGCCCTTCCACATCCCAAACTGACAAATGGGAAGAAGTTCAGAGAGAGTTTTCCAGAGGGGCAATTTTATAGTATCCTCTGAGACCTACTGCGGTTTAACAAATCGCTCCACTTGTTTATTCAGTGAGTCACTTGACTGAGACTTGAAAAATACCCCTCGAGTTGCCAGGGGTGTCTTCTGCCTGGTCTCCAGTGCGCATGTTTGCTTCGCATTCAAGAGGCCCATTCCTATCTTCTGTGCTCATTGGAAGTGTTTCCGCACATCCCCATTAGCCTGTATATAAGAGCCAGAAAGAGAACCCCAACATGTTGTAAATGAAGATGTGTCTCTATAACCTTTCTCTTGTTCTTGAAATAAAAGAAGACATTTTCATGCATATTTTAAGCAGAAACTTTGTACCTTTAAGTGTCATGTGACGTATTTATTGAGTAACCAGTATACAAATGGGATTTAATTGTCATCATATGCTTTGTGTGTGGGAGTCTTCGCCAACACCATGTCACTGGACCATTGTGACAAGCCATAGCTGCACAAAAAGAACATGTCGTCTGTGTGTGTGTGTGCGTGCGTGTGTATGTATGCATGTGTGACACATCTAGTTTGCTGTCCTTCGTGAGATTTTAGCTTTCCCTTTTGGAAAAACATTCCTTAATTGTTCCAGGAGGCCATGGCACAGCGCTATATGAAGGCAGTGATTTGCCACAAACACGCCTTTCCTCTTGGCAGCTTTTATCATAATGTTATATAGTTCAGCCACATCGATTCCACTGGCCTTTGAGAGGGAAGAGACTCTGTTCAAATTCAAATAGATTTCCAGAGGAAACTGAGGTCAAGATGAATAGGATGGAAGATGGCAGTCACCTCAGTTGCAGCACACGAGTTGAGTTGAGGCCAAGGGGTCAGAGTAACCTGGCCCTGAGCTGTGGCTTAAATCCCTAGAGTCACTGTGCTAGCCTGGGCTCCTGCCAAGTCAGAAGATAGCAGAACCATGAGAAATAGCCTGGCCTGCCTCCTGAGGAGAAAAATTCTTGAGGCCCTGCCAACAGTGGATGACCTTTTTCTACACTGGTGGCATCCCAGGTGGCCATTAAAATGTGATGGCAATTCATGATGTGCTTCCTTTGTTTCACCATAATTCACTTGATCTTTGGAACCACTTTTTCTCGGTGTAGATTTCCAATATTCTTACTCATTGCAGATTCACCAACTGTCACTGTTCTTAACAAGCATGTTCATCTTGTCAGAATTTCAGTGAGTTCAGATGTCCTGTGTAGACCAAGGTAACTGTTCTAACATCGAGCTATGAATGCAATGGTATCTGGTTTCTAAAATCTGGTTTCATGTGTGTTATGTGTATAAAACTGTATCTGCCTGTGTGGCTTTGCATTTCAAATGTGTGGCACGCAAGCATTTTGTTGGTGCTTTGTTCTCAGTACAGTAACTCTGTGTACAAACATTTTCATGTAGTTTTGTTGTTTTCCAACATGATGTCTCTGTAAAAATGATGTTGGCTGAGCTGGTGCGTTGGTTTCTCTCATAGAGGCATTAACTATACTGCCAATGCATTGAATTATTTAAAAATGCAAAATAAAATTTTTATGAAAATCTCATTTT